TGCCGATATTGGCCCTGTGAGGTGACAAAAAATAAAAGAGAAATAAGGTGGATCAAGTGTTGTTAGAGTTGAAAAATATATGATTGTCTCTAGAAAAAAAAACATGCCCCTCCATCCAGGAACACCCATGGAACATGAATGGTCGGTGCCTTAGAGATGGGACAAAACTGTTTGATAAATACGATGATTTTGAACTTTTGAAAATTAAGATTTTACTATCACATACCATTATTAATCTGGACAATTTTCTACAAGATTATAGTAGCCATTTAGCGATTATTCGTGTGATCAAAGTTTTGTTAGCTAATGTTAATGTAGCAATCGGAGATTAGTCGTTGATCGGCGGAATATAACGACTGACATTATTCGGGTAAATATCATCCCGGTGTTTGGTGGAGTTCATGTTGCTCTATTTTTTAGTTTTCAAACATAGTGTTTTGTCGACTGTTGTTTGTTTCTTTTTTAATCGTTTCTTTTTTTGCCATGTCTTAGTCATTTGAAGAATTTGACGTTGATTTACTGTTACACCACCACTGTCCCAGATTAGGGGGAGTTTTTGGCGCCAGTTAACATGTTTTACTCCACACAAAATGTATGCAGTGTTATTTTTTATCGTCAATTTATCAACAGCTTATTGATTAATAATTAGATAATTTTCTACATGTGTGCATATTTTTTAACAATATTCGCATGATACAATAAATGATGAGGAATATATGTGAAGTTTTCTTGATTTTCGATATAGAAAGTCAAACCGACAACAATACGTAGTTAAAAATGGACACATTTCACACAATATGCTGCCCTTTTCTGATGTATTGATATCCTTTTTGTGATTATTATTAGTAGCATGGCACTAACCTTAAATTTAATGACTGAAACTACCTACCAGACTTTTTGTAAAGCAGGTTTATAGTTTATGATATCTAACATTGAAATAATATGCAAGTATATTGCATTGTCATACATTGCGTAATGATAACGCCACCTCTTTCCCTTGGCATCTGACCCAACATTAGAATACTGAACACATGGTAAAACTAACGTAATGACATTGACCGAACGTTGATAACCCCAGCATGATTTCAATTACAATAAGATAGCAAATTAAAGAATGAAATTTAGCTTGTTATAATTGTAAAAACGGCCTAGAAATATGGAACAATATATTTGAATTTGTTATAGACGGACATTGAATTTAATTTAATCATGTGATATTGCAATAATCAAGCAATAGGATTGGACACTAGTTATAACAATCTATATTAAAAAGACATAAGCTGTCAAATTCATGTTCACCGATTTGACTAAAATTCTCCTATTTTATTTATAACATACAAAAACGTATATCCAAATTATAAAAAGTCTAAAATAAACAATTTACGATGCATGAACTCGATAATGTGTATCAGCATTTCGTGTGTATTTTATTATATTAAATTATAATTCTGGTACCTTTGATAACAATTAGTCAAGACGTGATCTGATCAACCATCGAGGTGACCTCCGAAGACTGCCGACGGTCATATAACCCGATATAAACACAAATATAGATATAAATAGATAGCGAACACGTGCAATTGTATTTTTCTAGGTCTGTTTGGTTTCATATTATTGGTTAAAAAAATATGTTAATCTTCGTTTTTTATAAGAATGAGTTTTTGCGAATCGAATCAGTCAACCAAATGTTTTACCCTTGTTTCACTTTCAACGTTGACATTTTTTTCCTTTTAATAGCCGAATACGCCAAGTTTATGCGTAACCCATCTTTAGTAAGGGGTTAAATTGAAGGTCACATGAATACCAAAAATGTTTTAAGATATATTGTTTCTTGAAAGTTAGAGGCATATTGAAGGTTTATATACATGTTTTACAAATATATCAATATTTCACTTATCCTGTTCCGTAAATTTTATTTATAAAATAAACAAATTAGACTCAAACTAGCGACTAATTTCTAGCGACATTGCAGCTAGCGACCATTAAAGCTCACAGAAGGAATCAAAAAGCTAAAGAACCATACGGCGGCATGACTGAAAACCACAAATTTGCATTGGGTAACAACGTTATATTAAAAAGAAATGTTCAGCTACCAATACGTTTTTTAACGTTTAGTTGACAAAGATGTCAAAATTTTAGAGAAAAGGGGGACAGAACAATATCAGTGACGACAGCAGATGAATGAATAGTTTTCTTGCTTCATTCAATCTGATGTTATTATACAGTTAGCTCTATGCTTCGAGCTTGATAAATCTGTTATTGTTTTACTAGAAAAAAGACTGTTACCGGTCTAAATAGCACAGACATTGAAAAATTTAAAAACCCAAAGGTACAACACTTAAAACAAAAGCAAGAGAAAACACATATTCAATAACGGTCAACCAACTCAAATCAGTAATTCGTTAGTGGTAGTCATAAGTTATTTCCTAGTTTTTTACCTTCCAGTAATTTGCAATTGGTGTAAAGTCGTTGACCGTCTCTATTAAACTTATCCACTGTTTATCAAGACTCAAGGCGATAGACAGTTTTTCTTATTCTTTAGAGGGCAGTTTCCTACTGACCATGTTTATGTCTATGGATTGCAAGTTTATTGAAGCATACTCCACTCTTTTTTTTATTCGTATTTAAATTATTAGTTGAGTCAGGCTAGTGTACGTAATATTGGCGATTGACTTGGTATGCTTTCCAATGACTGTTTGAGTTCTAATAACAGATCTGGTCAAGTATATCATATGCTGCTTCGCTAGTCTGAAAGATAGATCTAGATCTGCTTCAAACTACTATGTAGCCAGTATACACATAAGATGTGGTATAATTACCAAGAAGACAATTCAACCAGAGACCATAATGACGTAGAAGTAAGCATTTATAGGTAACAGTATAGGAAACAATTCAAACGAGAAAATTCATGAAAAAATTGATGTACAAAACAATAAACAAAAACAATTATGATATTCAGCAACAAACAAAAACCACTGAGTTACAGAATGTGACGGGTTAAACATGTGTTCGAGTGCACAAACCTCCCCTAACCTTGGACAGCTCTTGGCCAATAAGACTGGTTACATCTTTATGATTTCTCAAGACTTGATGTGGCTCTTAACCTACCTCTGACATGACTATGACTACAATAACAATACACATACAATTAAATATTGAGCAACATGAACCCGACCAACAACCAGGGAGAAATCAGGAAATATAAAAGGGTAAGCAGTCCCTGCTTCATTAGTGGTAGCATCAATCATATTACTTTTTGACAGTAGAAATATGGTGATAAAGTCACGTTCAGTAACGGCGAAAAAGAGGACGGGGTTGTGGTAACCACGAGGGGAACATAATTATCGATGGTCATATATGTGACACAGATATACCAGAACGGTCAACCAAGTCAACATTGCTTCCGTTGTTAACCTTTCAACTCTTTTTTTTGGAACTCTTGATGCAATAGCGTCCTTGTTAGCAGTAGCTCTCTATCAAGGAAAATTAATCATTATAGGAAAAACAAACCCTTTAATATCGCATCAACTCGGTCATATAATATATATATATCATATCAGCATTCCAGCGCTGATACACAGACATGGAAATTTCCAAATGTAAAATTGAAATCCTCTTTATATCATAAAGATTAGTTCTCAAACTGCATTATCAATTTGTAGATGGTAGTCAAGATACAAAGCAGACTTAAGGAAGCATTTCATGTTCCGATATGTGCAGAAGCCCGTAAATTATTGTATGTTGACCAAAATTTAATAAATGAAGTTATGATAGAAGGCGATACAAAACAATGATAAAAATTAATATTTTTTAACTAATGAAATAGATTGTTTAACAAATGTTTTCTTCAAAAGAAAAACATCTTGTTTTGCAAGTCGGGCCCAACAATGCAATTAAACAATAAAATCAAGTAATATTTTGTGTCCCATTAATTTCCAACTGTTAAGATGGAGACTCGTTGATGGAATTTCATTTCAATGTTGATTTCAGGCAGTGGCCGACATTTTAAGAGTCGGATACAATATCGTTCAATATCGTTGTGCTAACGAAAGTTTAGCAAAACTTAATATTGATGAGTCAGTATCGTATATATAATTTTTGGGGGGCATCCGTGATACCGATATAATAGTTATTTTTATAGCCAATTTCTTTCCATTGTACGTTCTATAAGGAGGAGTAGGAGAGCTGAATATTAAATTACAGATGACTATTCTTGTATCTAAAGATTATGACCGCAAAAGCATGATGCTGGTGAATTGAGACACATACGCTGTATATCCAGAGGCCTAGTTGGTGGCTGTTTTGAGTTTAATATTTGTTGTTTTTATTGTGTCCGTTATTATATTTTATGTTAACGGCCGACAGTTGGAAGTATTTTTTTTATTTTTTTCCTTTACCAACCAAAACTATGTGTGTTTGAGCTTGACAACAGACAGAGACAGAAGCTTTTTATTATATACCGTAATATGCTGACCTCTAGATATCTTTTATGTTGGATTTTTGTGTTGTTGTGTAGCTGTCTCATTGACTAATCTCTCTTTTTATTCTCGTGTGTAAAAAGTTGAAGTTACTGGTAACAATTCGAAAAGGTATTAGAATTACTCAACCCAAAAACTGACCAATTGTAAAAAAACACGTGACATTGTAGAAAACGTCAGAAAAAGGCTTCAGTATGAGATGCATTGTAATCTTTTCAGGTGCATTTTGTCTTTAAAATGATAAAGCATAATAATAATGAAAAGTGAAATTTGTATAATTGAATGATTACGCTACAAATTAGAGCTAAAATATTTTATTATGATGTTTTTATTTTCCGACAATTAGAAAAGCATGCGGTACTACAAGAGTAGTATCGGAAGGTTTAATATTTGTATTACATCCATCCCCAGTGCAACAGAAATGACATTCATAGGCATTATCGCTGGTGACCACTCCATATTTTCTACAATAATCAGACTTCGCAGAATCATTGGTCCATTTTGCGTTACACGTTTGTTCTGTTACACACCTACAAAGAATATTATTATGTTATATTTCAAAAATAATTTTAGATGGCCTTACCCAGATTTGGCAACAATGATACGTGTTCAATGATCTTCTGCTTTGTCTCTGAACGCCCTGAACATGCATGTAATAGTTGCCACTGGATGTTAAACAACCAATAATCAATTACTTCTTCTTTGGTTGTGAGATACACCGACGGCACTGATAACTTTTTGTAACATTATCATTATATCAAAGAAAAAATAATAAGAGTACTAATATTTAAATCATTTTGTCTAAATTTGAGGATTAAGGGCACGAAAGGCTTTCTTTCTTGATGTGAGGAATTTTAGTAAGCTGTATACTTACTTATGTATTTTAGTAGTTTATATGTCTATCTATATTGCATTTTAGAAAATTAAGTTTGCTTAATGATTAAAGTCCTTATTCTTTCAATTCTGTATGCATATACGGTTACTAAGTCTCTGTTATATACTGGCGAAGACTATAATTATTATCAGAAAGGTATGGTATAACAAAACATGTATTATCTTATTGTTGACATATAAGCCATTCAAACATTTCTCTCATTTAATTTGCCACATGAATTCGGAAATCAAAACGTATTATAAATCAATCAAATAACATGCTATATTTTTTTCACAAGACATTATGATAACTTCTCATATATTTTTTTAAGTCTTAATACTCCTTGTATTTAATGCAACACTGCAAAATCTTTGAAAATGTTCTAAGACTTGATTTTTTAATTAAAATATGAGCCACTGTTTTATCCATAAAATATGTTGGTTCAAGATATCGTTTACACAGATTTCAATGTCGATAACATATATATTTTAGTGAACTAAATGCTCTGAGTCGTATCTAATCTAGCAAATAAAGTTTAAATGAGCACTTTCAGGTTAAATATATCATATTTATTAAAAGCTAGTCAAATCACAATAGACATTTCGGTAGAAAGGATTCAAGATTATATTGTAACACTACAGCATAATGTTCCTTCAAAATTAACACTGTAAAAGCCGGGTTCGAACCGGGGACTTCAGTACGACATGCCTCTTTATTCATCAACCTAGCAAAAGGAGTACTCCACTAGCACAGCTAATGGAGGGCAGCCATATATCTACTAGACCAAGAGAAGCATCGCTACAATATCATCGTATTCATTCATTAATTCATACAACTATTTTTATACTATTTTTTCAAGTTAAGGTGCCAGCTGATAATGCCTCTAATCATATCTCCTTTTTTGACAAAATAAGACTATTTTGATACTTCTTTTCTCATTTTGGTGATTTGCAATCTAAACGGCTTATAGCTGGTTTTGTAAGTAGTTATTTGTAGTTATTAAGATATAAACTAAGGTGATCATGATGTAGTGTGTAGTTCAAGTAGGCTTGAAGAGAACCTGATGTTCAGTGGTTGTCGTTTGTTGATGTGGTTCATACGTGTTTCTCGTTTCTCGTTTTTTATATAGATTAGACCTTTGGTTTTCCTGTTTGAATGTTTTTACACTAGTCATTTTTGGGCCCTTTATAGCTTGCTGTTCGGTGTGAGCAAAGGCACCGTGGTAAGGCCGTACTTTGACCTATAATGGTTTACTTTTACAAATTGTGACTTGGATGGAGAGTTGTCTCATTGGCACTCATGCCACATCTTCTTATATCTATATGCAGCAAAACGACGTATATCCAAAACCAAATATAGACTTCACTTAATATGCATATATGTGCCGGGGTGAAATATAGAGTGAACTATAATATCGCCGATAAAAATGGTTTCATCGTAACATAGTGCATGGAAAGCCCTATTCTAAGACAAAGGACAAGGATTAGTCTCGTTTAAATTACAGCGGTCTAAATATGAAAATGTTTTAAAATTTTCTTGAACTATTGCCTACTTGCGGTGATTTGATTTTGCGCAAAATGGCATTTCATTTGTGCCAACAAAAAAAAATCTTTCATTTGCGCAACAAACCATATTTCATTTGCGCCCCAAAAAAAAACATTTCATTTGCGTCATTAATACAGGTAAATAGTATAAACATAAGATCTAATAGTTTTGATAGCATAATACTGTATAACATATTCATCATAAATCACATTCATCATGTTTTTATAATGGTTTTGCATTCCACATCGGTTGTGATTCTTGCTTTGCAACTTTTTGGGGCACATCTATACAATTTATCTCTGTTTTTCAATACATTAGATATCCTAAATGTGAGGTCTTAAAACAGACGCATATATTTTCTCCTCTATTTGTCTCCGAATGAACTATGTCCATTTTGTCACCGCTAATATGTGAACACGATACTATTAGATACATGGTGTGTTAGTGACCTAATACGATATATATGGAATTTACTGACCCCATATATATATCGTATTAGGTCACTAGCACACCGTGTAACGAATTTATCTTACCGACTATCTTCACATGTGGTATTTAGACTAGCGGCATATCAAAGTAATTAAGTCTTCAATACTTAGTATTAAGAACCTACTTCCATTTCTTTATACAAAAAACAAATGCCAACAATAACAACTTGTTAGCTTTAAATTTGTTTTATGAATTTATTTCAATCGTTCATTATCAATTTCTTCATCTGTTGAAACCTTTCAGTTTTTTGTTTGTTTTGAAAAAGGGAAGTAACTCCTTATTAACCCCATATGGTAACTAATCACATATGGTAACTAACGCCATATTTTTTAGGACACCCTATATCTAATATATGTAGTCACCACGTGTAGTCCTTTAACCAATCATATCCCCAGAAATCTATACGAGGTAAGATAACATTTAATACCTTTAAGTGACTCTCTGTTGTGTATTAGAAATGAGTATGAACTCTCTTACTAACCCAATTGGGTCATACCCTACAATGTTTTTATGCGAACTTCGTATTCATGATACAACTTATACTGAAACGTTTCCGTTATATTTTACCTGTAAATTGGCGCAAAAGCAATATTCTTTGTTGGCAGAAATGAAATAAAACCCTGTGGCGCAAATGAAATACGGAATTTCAAAAATTGGCAAAAGTGCAAGGCGCCCCCTGCTTGGTCGTGTAATATGTTTGTTTGCCTCTGTTCTGCTTTGAATTAAAGCAGAATTATTGGATAACTTGCCGTATCAATTGAAAAACTCAAGAATTAAAAACTCAAAATTATCGATGAAATAAAAATATATACAATATCCGTACAGTGTAGGGAAATATAAATTTACTTGACGAGCTTAAGAAACAGAGAGAAAAGCGAGGCTTGCCGAGTTTTTATCATGTTTCGTAGCGAGTACAAATATATTTTATTTTGTAATACACTGTACGAATACTGTTTTTTTTATGAAATCGACATGACTAAAACGCGGACCGCAATGAGGACCCCAAATTGAACTGTGATGTAAACAGTAATTTGAACATAACCGTACGCTCGCAATAGAAGCAGGATACCAGGGGACAATTAACGTCTAGTATACGTTTATCGCTTCGTGTTATCTGTACACCTGTATTTGTAAAGTAGAAAGGTCGATTGCAGGATAAAATTGGTTATTGTAAACGTATTAATACGAACCGTTTAAAAAGATCGGCATTACCATCAGCATCAGTAAAAATATCTGTCATACAAAAGTTGAGTCCAGCAGGACAGTCTGACGACTGGTTCCTAAAGACATCTCTAGAGAAGCATGGGATATAGCTATCAATATCCCCACACATGTTACATTTGACGGGTTTCTTATTGGTCGTGAGAGATGCTGTAGATGTTGTCGGTTGTAACGTTCTTGACGTCGTCTTTGGTGTAGTTGTCGTCGATGTGGTTTGTTGTATAGTTGAAGCTGGTGCTTATTTATAACAAATCAATTTATAATATAGGTAGAATACAACTTCCAGTATTAACATGTATGCGCCGAACAATGAGGAGTTAGAAGTCCGGTATTTTTTTTTAAATCATTCTTTTATTTGATATAAAAAAATGATAGACTCAAACCTTAGGAAAAGGGGCGGGGTTAGGTGGATTGCGGCCACCATGCACTATCTGCTAAAATTTGTTTCTGTAATTTGTCATTCTTAATATCAAAGAGCCTGTGTCACTCACCTGCATCGTCATTAAAGGGGAATAACAGTATTAAGAGATAATTGACAGTTTCAGTCTTGTTGACGTATTTGTATATCTTATCCTGTTGATCACATTTCTTTTTTAAAGTTTTTATTTATCTTTTTTAGTTTACAAGATAATAAGCAAAAAACGCAATAACAATGGTAAAAATTATCATTAAAAGACAATATCTCTAATAAAGAGTCGACTAAAGATTTCCGCCATACAGGTTTATTTGTAGATCTCGTCATAAAAGGGCAATAACTTCAATAAGATGTCGGCTAACGATTTTGGCCATGTAGACTTAGTTGTAGATCTTCACTTGCTGATCATTTTTGCTATTTATAGTTTCTATCTATCTATTATAGAATTCAAGATAATAGACAAAAACGCAAAACAAATGGGAATAATCCTTGATTAAGGGCAATAACTCCTACATGTATAAGAAGCCGTCTGACAGTTTTTATTAAGACATTAGGTATAATATCTCATCATTCTGAACAATGTTGCCCCAGCCGGATTTTCTCTATTTTAAACAGTTTTAATGATAATAGCCAAATATTGCATTTTACCCCTATGTTCAATTTCAGCCATTTCGGTCATATTGGTTGGCGGACACATTCTTTAAACTAGATACTCCAATGATAAGTGTGGCCAAGATTGGTTAAATTTGGCACAGTAGTTTCAGAAGAAAGATTTTTGTAAAAGTAATGAACGCCGAAGGACGACGACGACGACGGACGCCAAGTGATCTGAAAAGGTAGAAGACACCAAGGGGGTAACCGAAAACAATAAATAAGTCGAATTAAACAGTAAACGCAATGACCAAAAAAAGAACCCAAAACAAAAAGACAAAAAAAAAAAACAACAACAACAAAACACTACACAGAGAGACCACGAATCAAGTCATAAAAATTTACAAGTGTCAAGTTTAATGTCGGTCATTTACGTTCTATTTGTTACTTATTTTATAGTTATGTTTTATTCTTCTTCAATATACAGAAAAACAATAACATTTTAACATATATTATCATTTTTAATTACCAATAGCATTCAAAAAGTCTTATTCTTGCATTTCTTTTAGAGCTAGATCCTTTATTTTTAGTCATTTAAGACAACTGCGTATTTTCAAGATAAAAGGATTTAAAATCTACAATTTTAAAGCCCGTTATCCATGAGGTTTTTAAAACTTGAATATCTTAATTTGAGTAGTTGGTTGTTCACTATTGGATATTTAACATTTGTGTTGATTAGTTTGATCGCAACCTCGCTTTGGCCTTTTCGAAATACGACGACAAGGTTGCAGACGACGAAAATGTGACGAGAAAATAATCTTCTTAAAAAAGAAATACAAAGAAGCAACAGGAAGAGGCGACTGTTAATATTTCAGCTAGATTAGCCAGGGATGTAGTACTACCTAGAACAAGTGGAACACCACCTGTACAGCTCTGCTTTAACACTGTGACAAATAATGTACTACAACACAGTCCAATAATGACCCAAGCAACACTGCCAGCAGAAACAATTTACCCTGCTCCAGGTAATACAACAATTCACCAACCCTTTATTAACTCAGGTTATGCCCTACCTATTGAAACGGTTAAGGCGTCAGATGACATATCGCGAAACGTTTCGCAAAATGTCAAACAAAAAGTAATAAATGGGGACTGTGTAGATATGGGCAGTTTGTTAAATAATTCACAAAACATAACAAGAGTAAATCAAACACTTACACTTACAGATTATATACAACCTAAGCAACAGGATACAAGAATTAGCACAATAGATATGTGGACGGATGCCTTTTTAATATATATCAGTATTTATTGTTCTATACATACATCTCAGTTTCATGAAATGTTGAAGTATATGCAAACTGTCAGGTTAGGGGCTAAACGCTATGCAGGTTTAGGGTGGAAATTGCATGATGAACAGTTTTTACTACGTAGATCACAGGAGCCTGCTGGATCCTGGTCTGTCATAGACACTAATCTATGGTTATTGTATATGCAACCAGCAGGTCCAATGAATGGGACAGAGTTCAATATTGCACAAAAACCAACAAGAAATTTTCTTAAATGATATGCATACAATTATAATGGGACGTGCACCAACCAACAATATTGCACATACAAACATACTTGTTTAAAATATAGTGATGTAAATCCGGTTATATTTTGTACTACATGTAGTAGCAATGTGACTAACTCTAATAATCCTCAGTCACCTAGGATTGTTCAGAGATTCAGATCAGCCCGGCCTCAAACACCACAAAAAACATCATCTAATTTTCAACCCCTTGCACCTAAGCAAATGCAAAATAACACAAGATTCCGTTCTCCTGGAACATTTATGGGACAAAGGCAAAACCCCAGTCAAAATTAAACCTTTGCGAGAATTACTGTCAAATTATGAAAACAAAACTGATGCCGCAATGGTATTATTGGGATTTATAGAGGGGTTTAGATTAAACTATACTGGTCCAAGGATCTCATTTTTTGCAAGCCATCTCATTTCGGCAGAAAATCACAAAACTGAAACTAATTTAAAATTACACAAGAAGTGCATCTTCAAGTTGGTAGAATGTTGAGCCCCTTTCAAAAATACCAATGTCAACTCTAAGAATATCTCCTATTGGGATTGTAGCAAAACATGACGGGGGATGGCGTCTTATAACCCACTTGTCATAACCTCCAAACTGGAATGTAAATGATTTCATTGATCCAGAAATTTGCAAAGTAAAGTATTCTTCTTTTGATAAAGTGGTTGGGATGAAAGCTGGCATTGAGAATCCTCCCTGAAAAACTGGATAAACTTAAATTCGTGTTTGATCAGGTCTTGTCGAAAACGAAAATGGCACTGAAGGAACTTTAATCAATTACTGGTTTAATGGAATTTCGTTCAAGGGTTATTATACATGTTATATCAGCCCGTGCATTCATCCGTCGTTTTTACGATCTGATGGCTTCAGTTAAGAATGGAAAGCCTTATTGTACTGTCAGATTGAATTCGTATGTCAAAACAAATGCTAGAGTTTGGTTTAATTTTCTAGATCCATTCATTGGTCAGTGTTATTTTTCCTGATCGATTTTGGTCGACTAATGAAAGTCTGGAATTATTCACTGATAGTGCAGGTAATGTTTTATTGGATATAACATGTTTGGGGCTTATTCCCATCGTGCTGTCCTTCATCATATGAATTCCTTCATTTAGAAATAAAAAAGATTTTGTTAAGAATAGATAATCAGGTATTAGTAAGCATTGTGAACAAAAGAACACCAAAATCAAAGATAGTTATGATATTGATACGACAAACTGTCTTTCTCACTATGGACAACCACATACAAGTTAGAGCACACCATATTGAGGGTGAACACAATGCACTCACAGATTCTCTTTCTGAATTTCAGGAACAAAGTTTAATGGAATGGTTCCCGAATGCAGATAGTTCTCCATCAATAATCCCACAAGAATTCCTGACGATGATTTCAGAACTGAAATGAATCACTTACTTATAAATTCAATAGCACCCAGTACACAGAAAGCATATTTGCATAGCATGGACATATTTGTTAAATTCGGAGAAAATCAGGAATGTTCTGATATCTGGCCTATTCCTTTTGGTGACTTGACATCGTTCATCGTTTATCTTTTTATAAAGAAAATGCCCCACTCAACAGTATCTAGCTATATTTCAGGCTTAAGTTTCTTTAATAAAATTAACAATTTAGAAGAAAATAGACAGAAATTTGTGGTTAGAAAATTGATTGAAGGAATAATTATGGTTTATGCCCAAATTAAAAGGACACTAGATTAACTATAACGAGAGATATATTGGAAAAATCATTGAGGTCATTGGCGGTGATTTGCAAAAACGGGTACAAGACAAAATTGTATATGACCGCATTTTCGCTAGCCTTTCATAGTTTTATGAGAGTAGGTGAAATAATTGATTGCAAAAAAAAGCAGATGCATACTGTAAAATTTGAAAATATAAAGATTCGTGATGCACGATTAGAGGTTTTATTGATCTAAAACTGACCATTTTGCTTCTGGAACAAAAATCGTTATTTCTAACTATTATTAGTTTTACATATTGGAAGCAATGCTATAGGGAAAGAAAGTGCAAAAGCTCTTTGTGAACTAATAAGGAAACAGTTCAGTTGGATGCGTCTACTGATGTTGGACACAGTTTTTGTCTGGTCTCAAATTATTCCGAGACCAAGTTGTCGTTACTCTGACAATATTGATGCTATGGAAACATGTATAATGAGGGTTAATACCTCTAAAGCATCATTCTTAACCAAAACATATGGTTGTTTCATCCGTTACCCTGATATAAAGGCTAATCAATCATTCCTAATGAAAGATGAATGCATTTGACGTCTTTCTTGAATACACTCCAGGGAGGAAGGATTAGAAATGATTATCAGTAATCTTGGCATGAATTTAACCTTCCCCGACTGTTATTAAAACAATTGTTATGTTAACATTCTATATCTGATGTCATAAGTTATTTACTATGAACTTGAAAAAGAGGCGAAATATACCAAAGGGACATTCAAGTAAATATATTGAATTGTATTTGGCACAGCTTTGCGCAGCTTCACCCCTCTTTTCAATGACGGTTGTCCAATCAAATAAAGTTGTTACTCTGATCTTATCGAACAATTTGGCATATTTCGTTGCGCTGGATTCAACATTCATATATTCAGTGAACAGTAATCATAGCCTTTGATTACCAGGGCTCATCAGTCAACTTCTCGTACCAGACATATTACTTACATATATTTATATTAGTGGTCTGTCATAATTTGCGGTAGCAAAAAACGTTATTTCTAAGCAGCAGAAAAACAAAAATGTCTGTCCAGTACAAATAACGGCTAAATTTATTAAAGTTTGCCCCCATATCTGGGACCTTCATTTTGTCATTTTGATGGATCCCTCCTTACAAGATACCAGTTTTCAGCATTATTAAAAAGTCTTTGTCAGTAATTAATATAGAAAACAATTGATTTAAGTTCCATTCATTTAGAATTAGCATGTCAACCACATGCGCATTAGAGGGTATTTCTGATGAACAAATGAAAGAAACTGGACGTTGGAAGTCACAGGCCTTTTTGCGTTATATTAGGATTCTATTGTCCTGAACATTATACATGTACATTTCTGTCATTTAAATATGTTTGTATAATTGCTTATCTCATAATGCTGTCTTGAGCTGGCATTTAAATATATATTGTATTATGAAAATAAATGGTATGTCCTGCATCAGTATAAGCATGTAATAATTGCTTTCTAAGAATTGTTGGACATGCTACAGTTTGGATCATTGGATCCTCGATTATTAAGAATGCTTTTGTGGAAGCCAGAGGAAGACCGGGAGGGGTAAACTTGGGGCTACAGAGGATGGGAGTTAATATTTGGTGACAAGGAAAATGTAGAGGTAAAGTGATGAACATGAAACAACAAATAAGAACCATGTTAAAATATGAATATTCGACAACTATTATTAGTTTTACATATTGGAAGCAATGCTATAGGGAAAGAAAGTACAAAAGCTCTTTGTGAACTAATAAGGAAACAGTTCAGTTGGATGCGTCCACTGATGTTGAACACAGATTTTGTCTGGATTCCAATTATTTCGAGACCTAGTTGTCGTTACTCTGACAATATTGATGCCATGGAAACATGTACAATGAGGGTTAATACCTCTAAAGTATCATTATTAACCAAAACATATGGTTGTTACATCAGTTACCCTGATATAAAGGCTAATGAATCATTCCTAATGAAAGATGGAGTACATTTGACGTCATTGGGAAAAATTTTCTTGAATACACTCCAGGGAGGATTAGAAATGATTATCAGTAATATTGGCATGAATTTAACCTTCCCCGACTATTATTAAAACAATTGTTATGTTAACATTCTATATCTGATGTCAGAAGTAATTTACTAGGAACTTGAAAAAGAGGCGAAATATACCAAAGGGACATTCAAGTAAATATATTGAATTGTATATGGCACAGCTTTGAGCAGCTTCACCACTCTTTTCAGTGACGGTTGTCCAATCAGATCAAGTTGTTACTCTGATCTTATCGGACAATTTGTAGATATAAGAAGATGTGGTATGAGTGCCAATGAGACAACTCTCCATCCAAGTCAAAATTTATAAAAGTAAACCATTATAGGTCACAGTACGGTCTTCAGCACGGAGCCTTAGCTCACACCGAACAGTAAGCTATAAAGGGCCCCAAAAATTACCAGTGTAAAACCATTCAAACGGGAAAACCAACGGTCTAATCTATATAAAAAACGAGAAACGAGAAACACTTATGAACCACATCAACAAACGACAACTACTGAACATCAGATTCCTGACTTAGGACAGGTGCAAACAAATGCAGCGGGTTTAAACATTTTAATGGTACCAAACCTTCACCCTTTTTATTGAAACGATAGTGTAACATCACAACATACAAAGACACACTATAAAATATCAACTGAAATAGCTTAACTCAATCAAAGGACATATTAACACCATTGAACATACACTGAACAAATAAATTTGACCTATGATACAATGTAAATACAAAATAAATAAACTAAGGGAAGAATAATAAAAGTAACATTGGCATATTTCGCTGCGCTGGATTCAACATTCATATATTCAGTGAACAGTAATGATAGCCTTTGATTACCAGGGCTCATCAGTCAACTACTCGTATCAGACATATTACTTACATATATTTATATTAGTGGTCTGTCATAATTTGCGGTAACCACATTATAATTTACACATATATTAAATATAGGCATTGATAAATATATTTCAGAGCAAGATTTTCAATTTAAATACATATTTTATATCATATATGTTAAATTTTATTCAAGATAAAACTAGCCAAATACTGCCAAAACCTTATTATCTCTTTGTTATTTTTGGGCCTCATGGATATTCGTTTATAAACAGTATTAGAATTTCACTCACCATATAGCTCATACAAAATAGATGATGTGTGTTCATCGTAAATGTTAGAAATGACAGTATTTGTTTCACAAAGTTGCAAAGTATTAAAAAGTATCAGGTATTCTAGTCCTAACTTTCTATCATTTTTAATACCAATTTTGTTTTAAACCTTTCCGTCGGATCTCATTTAACAAAACGTCGTGAGACTACCGGACTATTTAAAAAAAATACTTTAAATGAAACAATTCTAATGTTTGCCTTTATTTCCTTGAATTTCCATTGTATATCTTTTCTAAACTCAACATTTTAAAATGAAATATTAAATAATGTAATTAAGTTTACTTACTTGGTAGGTGTAAAGAAGCTAAAATTGAAATATCTTGAATGCATTTTTTACATTTATTTCACTGCTTTACCGAATTTTTTCAAACTTTTTACTTTTTGTATAAACAACGGTTTTGCGTGCATAACTATCAAAGTTCGTGAAAATATACATAGTCAATTGGTAAAAATAACCAATATTTTATAGATAAATAAATATGTGTTATCAACCACGTTGATATAAAATCTCAAACATGATACGCTTTATTTAGAAGAGTGGGACGTGAAAACACACCTTTTGACTTATGTTATCATTTAATTTGTACATTAATTTAGCACCACTTCTACACCGAATTTTGTTTCAGAATAAAGCAGAAAAAGTACATGAGAAAAACAATCTTAAAAACTTGTTTGTATTGCTTACAACCAATCTATAATACGTCAGCATTTATTTTTTCGAGTGTATATGTAGTGGATGAACTTACAAAACCCGTCTCGTATGAATGATCGCCGTGAGCCCGACACATGTTTCTGGAATAACTTTCATCAGTTAATCTCTAGACTTAAATCGCGCAAGGGGAAAAATATAAACATTGGTAAGCACAAAATCAAAAGACCTTAAACAAAAGGGCAAACAAATCTAAGCTCATCCTTGTCTGAGAGAGTGACACGAGAGAGTGGCAAACATTCTATATGTACCTATCCCAAGTCAGGAGCCTGAAGTTCAGTGGTTGTCGTTAGTTCATGTCTGTCATATTTGTTTTTCTTTAATTGTTTTGTTATACATTAGGCCGTTGTTTTCTCAATTGAATTGTTTCCTATTTTTTTATGTCGGGGCCTTTTTATAGCCGACTATACGGTATAGGTTTTTCTCATTGTTGAAGGCCGCACAGTTGCCTATAATTGCTTACACCCACTTCATTTGAACTTTGGGGGATAGTTGTCTCACTGGCAATCATACCACATCTCCTTATTTTTATATAAGCACAATTAAATAATTTTATAAACAGTAAAAAAATCACAGACAAAAAAGAAATGTATCTTCAACCAAAGTACTTGCCAATTAGAAGATGTAAAAATTCACATGACGACATTGTATACAATTAAAGAGAATACCATGCTAAGGTAACAGTAATCAACATTACACATACCTATAAACTCGTCACACCTGTTACACGTTCTGGCACATGTTGCAATGACATACGCATGTGCGGTAGCATGGCAAAGCTGGTCTTTAAATGATGCGCATCTTGTATCGTGGTCTATACACAATGGATTAAGTGTGGGCACCCCTGTACAAAAATGGATTATTCCTATTAAGTATTGATTTCGGTAAGTTCGTGTTGCTCAGTCTTTGGTTTTCTATGTTGTGTTTTTGTAAACATTGGTTTGTTTTTTGGTTGATTTTCGTTTTTCTTTTGCCATGACATTGTCAGTTTGTTTTGGACTAATGATTTTTAATGTGCCTTTGGTATCTCTCGCCTCTCTTCTATTCATTTTGTCAAAAGTATAATTTTGTCGTTCCGTAGACGGCCATATTTGTTTTGTCTCTCACCTATGACGTTTCTCTAATTTAAATACGATGAACTAGATGAAAAAAATAGTAAAGGTTTTTTTTCTCTCCGAATAGTGCTTGTCAATGGCACCGGAAAATCCGTTTGTTGAAAAACAAACGGAAAAATTCTCTCGTTTACAGTACCGATCACGTAACAACATGGCGGATTATACTTCATGTAATGGCGCCATCGTCTTAAAAAGCTTTTAATAAAACCTTTGTTCAGAGCAAGAACATTGTGAACAATTTAGTTTCATCTGGTATTGTATGCAGAGTATTATATGTCGCTCGCTTTTAAGTCTTTCAGTTTACATATATTCAGTTTCCTTTTTAGCAAATTATAGTAAACCCTGAAGAAATTATTTTCAATATATATATATTCAGCTACTTTTTTGAATTCCTTGCCACCAAGGTGAAATTGTTTAATATTAAACTGCCGTTAGAGAGACAAAAAGAGTTATTTAAATGTTATTGCTCCTATTACTCATCAAACGAACGCGTAATGAGTTTGTCATGAGTAAAAAATAATGTTTTTTTTTTAATTGTTAAGCCTGAGAGTCCGGACACCTTCAATTTGTAAAAACAGATACTAAACTTAAAAAACTAACCAGATGGGAGAGGAGCTGTGGTAGTTGTTGTAGTTGATGTTGTTGTAGCAGGACGTGCCTCGTTAACACACCGATTGGTATTACAGTAGCATTCCTGTCCTGTCCTCAGAAAAACTGGACATCCAAACCTCACCTTTTATTAAGGTAAACATTTAATTATTTAATGTCAGTCATATCTAAAACTTTATACAGCATGTAAGAATGTATTTTGTTTAATCATAGCTCATATATATATATATACCTAAAAACTAACTGATCTATGATATCTATGATGAGATTTTTTGGTTATACATGATGGTTTGAAAACGGTCTCCTTAACAAAAGAATAAACAATTCGACTAGTAAGCACAAAATTGAAACAGGTTAAATACAAATTTGCAATATCAAATATTTCCTAAACTCTTTATTTTTTATGTTTCGCATCTTTAAACAAATGTTCATTTCTCCAAATATGTGTATCTAGTGTTCATTGTAGCGAGAACATCACACGTATACATATAAAAGAAATTCATGTTAACCATTAAAAAGAATGAGTGCCAAACAAAGGCAATATTGTCTTATATCGAATACCAACTTGTGTATTGTTGTTTAACGTCACATTCAGCTAGTGTTGCTATAACATAGGGTCATTTAAAAAAAATGTCGAATCTTGAAATTGCAAAATTGAATAAAAGTTATAAATTTAAACCACCCTCTTCATAAGCAAATCAAAATAAACAATACTTATGGAACAACATATCAAAAGATGCAATAATGTCATACAAGAATATATTGAAACATTTTTTGATAGGTGGTGCAATATTTTGTCTCTCCTGTTACCATGTTCAGAAGAAATTTTGGGTTATTTAGAAAAGGTTTCGATAAAATTTAAAGCTTGTTTTTCATTGCCGATAAGATTTTTTTCAAGAGTAAAAATTTCTATATGTTTTCATTCTGTGTAATGATAGATTATTTGTCAATTTTCCCTGTTGTACTGAAAAAATACTTCTAAAAATTGGCTTTCGAAGGTTATAAAAATAACCACCAGCAACGCAAGACTAAGATAGTAATTCATAATGTTCAGCATTTTCTTTCTAATAATCCGAACATCAAGTAATTCCCTTGCATGTTGGTTTACTTTTGTCGTTTTGTTTTTTGGTAACAGGAACGTACGTTAACGATATATCACCATATTAAGTTCTATCCTGTTACCCTTTTTGTCTATCCTGTTACCGATAGCAGTATTGCATTTTGTATATTCTCAATTGCAAAGATTAAGACATTGTCACCTTTAAAAAGTAAAATAACAAAAATACCGAACTCCAAGGAAAATTCAAAACAGAAAGTCTTTTATCAAATGGCAAAATCAAAAGCTCAAACACATCAAACAAATGGAAAACAACTGTCATATTCCTGACTTGGTACAGGCATTTCCTTATGTAGAAAATGATGGATTAAATGAGTTAAAACAAGCAAACATTTCGTTATCTTTAAAATAATATTTCATTATATACTTTTTAAAGACGTTTTAGTCAAACATTTCTTCATTTATGAATGCCGCTGTGAAATAACTACTCCCTTTGGTGCAGCGATAATTTTTAATGAGTTTGTTTGAGTTTGGTTTCCAACAAGTAATTGCACTTTTTACAAGTCTAATATTGTGGTAATTTTACATTTATTGGTAACAACATAGACATCACTGAATAGTTCCATATTCATAGGGAGAAACAATTTAAGGGTTGATCTAGTAGCGGTAACAGAAAAGACATGCATTTTATGTACGCCGATTGAATTTAGTATGTAGTAAAAATATTACATAGTATGAGAAATAAGCTGTGATCTTTCGTAAGAGTTTTCATTAACATTCTAAAATCGTTGCTTTTGCAGATATCAAGGCAATCAGAAAATAGAAAAAAAAATCATTTTTACCCTGATATTACGCAAAAATCGGACTTAAATATATTGTAATCTTATCAAAATAGATCTTAATCGTGTTTATCATTGATGCTCTAACTGATAAATCCTACAAACTTACGTTTAAACACTTACAACTGCATTTTCCATTAAAAATTAAAAACATTATACAGGGGTACTGAACATTCGACATTTTTTTGAAAATGACCCATATCATAGTGGGCAGTTATTTATTGTGGAGGAAGTTGGAGTGCCCGGAGAGTACCACAGACCATCGATATAGGAAACCCGGCAATCCTAGTCAATTAAGACTATATGCTTTGCTCTAATTCCTTCTCAGTTGTACAATCCTAAAAGGTTTACTAACAGAAAAATTAATGATATGTATCATTGAGATCTTTTCGTATATTGTAAGATAGACAGTAGTATAACATCTTTCATCTCATCTGTCTAAATGGTAAGTTATTGTCGGAAAAATATCACAGAAACAGGGTTATTTTATATTGATCTATTACGTCTTCCCACCATATTCTCACTGTAAACTGGTAAAGTTAGTAATTACTTGTATCCTGCAATCAACCAACTATTGTACAATTAATATGTACACATGTACATTTTTGCTTTATTTGTACTTGTACAAACAAATTTCTCCTGTTACTCTACTTCAATGTTGAGCAAACGATAATATGAATATGTCTTTTGGGATGAAAGTTCATTTTAGGTCCGCGTTTAAAGTTGAAAAATCAGAGACATCTATTTGGATTTAAACAACTTAACCTTCATGTGACGGGTGTGAATAATAGAATAAAAACAATACATGTATATTGTCGAAATTATAAAATTTATTTGTACACGCTATGAAACCGGAGAAAAGCTCGGCGAGCCTCGCTTGTCGTCCTTTTTCTTAAGCTCATACAAATATTTTTTTTACATTTTCCGACATTGTACATATTTTGTATATGTACATGTATACCATGTTAGGTAACATCATTCGTACTTACATTTATACCATGCTGACTAGGATCATTCATACTTACATTTATACCATGTTGACTAGGATCATTCATGCATTGTCCTCTGATAGCTCCATCAATATTATTCATTCTGCAAATCTGTATGTGTTTATGCGATAATTTACCATTAGTATTAAATTCAAGATTATACATTGAGACAGCAACCAAACAAGTTACCAAAAGACATTTGGGTCAGCAGAGTCTTAAAATGTGTCTCAACCACTACCTATCTTACTATATTCATTTATATGACATAAAAGACAACAAATAAAATACACTATTAGCAAATGATCGATCCTTCAAACGTTGAATTTTAGGAATTTTCAGAATAGAATTTGGATAAATATGATATTACATACACAAAGACCATCATCATCGTACTTTGAAGATATACTTAATCTATACTACTAAAGGAAGAGACCGAACTCATTGAGCCGCAACTTCTCTGAAACCATAAAAAGTCGGAAATATTTGTGAGATGACGTATAAATGTAGTGTTTTGTACTTCCTAAATTTGTCTTTGAAACAATCTTTTTTCCACAGAAAACGCTAATTTTTGAGAAAATATCCAAATTCGGAGACCGTTATCGATCTGTGTCTTATACGCTTTCGCGCATGCTCATTCGACGTTCTGATCACAGAATTTAACTTTATATATAAATAATATAGAACAATGGTGTAGATTAAAAATTACACTATTCCAGGCCCTTTTGTTTACCACATAATTAATACTACCAATAATTAATAAGTTCCGGGTCGAATCTGATACCGATTTCAATAGTATATATGTCACAAAATTACCTGTTCACTGTTACCTAATCTGTACGTTCCGCCTCTGTCAGGCGCACAACCAAACGGTGTATTCAGAATTTGCTATAAACACGGGTAATGATCACCTTATAATCAGCGTGACTTTACAATTTGACAATACGAATTCTAAAAATCCAGGCTAAAAATAAGGCGTAGGTTTTTTAATTCAGTCACGGACCCGCGATCTCGCGGGTATGGCCTAGTTATGTAACCTTGATGAAGAAACATGTTATTCAGGATAGTTTGCATCTAGTAACAAAGGTGATATCTCCTTTGAAGGGGTATAAATAAAGATGATTTTTACCTCAAGCATATGTCGTTTAAATCTACCTCATTGAAATAGTCATAAAAATGAGAAAAGGTTTTACACATTAAATTTTCTTCAAAAATTACCCTAAACTCCCTCATACAAAATGTACCTTTATGTAAATGGCATGCAAAGACTCTATGAGCGTTGATCAGATCAGATCGGTAAATTATGTAATATATACTTTCAGACATGACGATCGTGCGTTTGTTCAGTTTTTTTCACATAGGAATTTGCCATCTAGCTATAGGCTATGTAGGAATATATGTCGGGTGATGTCTATCCTAGTCGGTTTGGTCTTAGGATTAAACATCTTCAAATATGAATGCTTAAAGCCTCGGTCACACCTTAACGGATAGCTCGAACGGATGCCGAGCGGATACATTTTTTTCAATCCGTTCATGTCCGTTAGACGTCCGTTCTTATCCGTTAGACGTCCGTCCATATCCGTTTCATGTTCGTTTAGCGTCCGTTTTATCCGTCGACGTCCGTTCTGTCAGGTGGAAAATTTTGAGCATGTTCAAAATTTTGAACGGACGTCCAACGGATGAAGTGTCCGTTGAACGTCCGATAGGCGTCTGTTTTGTACGGTACTCGTCCGTTTCTTTTCCGTTTTGTATCCGTTACTTGTCTGTTTTACACCGTTAGAGTTCCGCTATACAAATTCACCAACGGACTTCTACCGGAAGTATAACGGATAGATAAAACGGATGATGAACCGATGGGAAACGGACATGAACGGAAGGATAACGGATACCTACCGAATGTAAAACGGATAAATGCCAATTGAAAATTTCGCGTCACTCAGAAATGGCAATTATTGATATGTCAGATTTCTTGAGTGTCATGAACGTCTATTACTCATGTCTTCACTATCAAGCAGCTCTTATTCAGGTCCGACTGAACTTAAATGTTGCAAATATAAACCTACTAGTTGTCGAAAGGAGAAGAAGGAGAAAACAAAGGAGATGGTGGGCAAGATCATTGCTTAGTCCTGAAAGATATGTATTATTATCATCGCTTATCTTGTTCATCCGTTTTATCGGTACGCTTTCGTTAGGTGTCCGTTTTATGCGGTACTCGTCCGTTGGATGTACGATCGACGTCCGTTCTGTCCGTTACGTTTCAGTTTCTCGTACGTTGCATATCCTGTGAGTGTCCGTTAGGCATTCGTTACCCGTTCGTTTTATTTGATCAGTATACCAACGGACACCAAAGGGATACAAAATTTGTCAACGGAAAACTTTTGTTTTACATCCGTTCGGCGTCCGTTCGAGCTATTCGGTAAGGTGTGACCACAGCTTTAAAAAGAAAATATTTTAGATCATGTAAATAACTGCTAAATACCACGAACTATAGTTTATATATACCTCATTAATGCGGCAGGGGTATGTGTCACACAAAAAGTCTTTATCGGGTGGTGGATTGGTATGACCATCTGAAAGTAACCAAATTTCATCAGCCGATAATTTGGTTTTTTTATTATGAATTACTCGAATGTCACCAGGGAATTACCGACCACTTTCAATATTACCTACGTTTTCAATTTTTTGGAAAAAATTGTTACCTAGCATATGTTTTCATGCTTATTGAAATTTAAATGACTAAACGAATCTCAATCCTGCTTTCGCCAAAAGCATTTCATGTAATACTGCTCCTCCCAATTTAACATATGATTGGTTAAAAAGAATTAGCGATAACAATTAGTAAGTTGGCTATGCGTCTTCGGTTCTTTTAAGATAAGTTTGGATTTGGTGGATCACAAGATATTATGTTAATAATTTAGCTGTTATTAGTTTTTACTGATTTGAGTCTTATTTGTCTTTAAGAACACATCAATTTTGTCTTTTATCACTCATTTTGTTTATGAATTTAAGGATTTATTAGATAATATCAACATTCACATTAACATGTAAGCTGATGAAATGTCCACTTGGAAGTGAGAAATATCAAGTATGAGGTGAGAAATATCAAGTATGAGGTGAGAAATATCAACATAGAAGTGATAAATGTCTACTTGGAAGTGAAAAATGTCTACTTGGAAGTGAAAAATGTCTACTTGGAAGTGATAAATAACTACTTGGAAGTGAGAAATGTCAAATTGGAAATGAGAAATATCAACATAGAAGTGATTAATGTCTACTTGGAAGTGATAAAAGTCTACTTGGAAGTGAGAAATGTCTACTTGGAAGTGATAAATGTCTACTTGGAAGTGAGAAATATCAACATAGAAGTGATAATTGTCTACTTGAAAGTGAAAAATGTCTACTTGGAAGTGATAAATGTCTACTTGGAAGTGAGAAATGTCAAATTGGAAGTGAGAAGTATCAACATAGAAGTGAGAAATGTCTACCTGGAAGTGAAAAATGTCTAATTGGAAGTGAGAAATGTGTGAGAAAGTCTACTTGGAAGTAAGAAATGTTTACTTGGAAGTGACAAATGTCAAGTTGGAAGTGAGAAATTTCTACTTGGAAGTGATAAATGTCTACTTGGAAGTGATAGATGTCTACTTGGAAGTGATAAATCTACTTAGAAGTGAGAAATGTCTTCTTGGAAGTGAGAAATGTCTACTTGGAAGTGATAAATGTCTACTTGGAAGTGAGAAATATCAACATAGAAGTGATAAATGTCTACTTGAAAGTGAGAAATGTCTACTTGGATGTGATAAATGTCTACTTGGAAGTGAGAAATATCTACTTGGAAGTGAGAAAAGTGTGAGAAATGTCTACTTGAAAGTGGAAGTAAGAAATGTCTACTTGGAAGTGACAAATGTCAAGTTGGAAGTGAGAAATTTCTACTTTGAAGTGATAAACGTCTAAATGTTTGCTTGGAAGTGATAGATCTACTTGGAAGTGAGAAATGTCTACTTGGAAGTTAGAAATGTCTACATGGAAGAGATAAATGTCTACTTGGAAGTGAGAAAAGTCTACTTGGAAGTGAGAAATGTCAACATAGAAGTGATAAATGTCTTCTTTGAAGTGATAAATGTCAATTTGGAAGTGATAAATGTCTACTTTGAAGTGAGAAATGTCTACTTGGAACTGAGAAATGTCAAGTTGGAAGTGAGAAATATCAAGTTGGAAGTGAGAAATATCAACATAGAAGTGATAAATGTCTACTTTGAAGTGATAAATGTCAAGATGGAAGTGGGAAATGTCAAGTTGGAAGTGAGAAATATCAAGTTGGAAGTGAAAAAGATTAAGTTGAAAGTGAAAAATATTAAGTTGAAAGTGAGAAATTTCAAATGGTCTTTCGTAGAAAAGCACTTTTATCATCTTGTTTTTTATTTGTGGGGAAAACTAATCAGCTACGTCTCATATAAGACAAAGAGTTCAACAGAGATTGATCAATACGTCTCATATAAGACAACGAGTTTAATAGAAATTGATCAATTGTGTCAGTTTGTTTCGTGTTAACAATTTTCGTCCGGAACACATGAACTACTGAAAAGTAATGTATCCAAAAATGTATTGTTCTGTTGTTGCACCACTGTCCCAGGATTAGAGGAGGATTGGGCGCCCGCTAACATGTTTAACCCCGCCACATTCTGTATGTGCCTGTCCAAAATCAGAAGCCTGTAATTCAGTGGTTGTCGTTTGTTGCTGTGTTACATATTTGTTTTTCGTTCATTATTTTGTACTTAAATTAGGCCGTTAGTTTTCTCGTTTGAAATGTTTTTCATTTGTCATTTCGGGGTCTTTTATAGCTGACCATGCGGTATGGGCTTTGCTCATTGTTGAAGGCCGTACGATGACCTATAGTTGTTAATTTCTGTGTCATTTGGTCTCTTGTGGAGAGTTGTCTCATTGGCAATCATACCACATCTTCTTTTTTTATTCTTTGCAAAGAGTTGAATAGTATTATACCAAAATAAAAGTATACATTAACACGAATATGCAAAAATAATATCGTTGGATTTGGCTATCATGTTAAGGTCCATTTTGGTCATACAACTCTACAATTGTTTCGGTAT